GGGAGCGGAGCCGCGCGTCGCGGGCCCCACCCGCGGAGCTCATGCGAGTGTGGTGTTTGCGCCGGGAGCGGGGGCTCTGACTGCGGTTCTGGGCCTTGGGGTTTTCTGGGGGTGGGGGAATTGAGTGTCCTTGCCATGGCTCTGGGCTCGCTGAGGAAGGTGTCCTCACCGAGGCTCGCTCGCGGGGATACCTCGTAGCGAGGAGGTGGGGTTCCACGCCGGCGGCGGGTTGTGTGAGGGGTGAGGAGAAAGCTGGGTCCCTGGCGGTCTCCCTTGTAGGCTTTTGGTCACTGCCCCCGGCTGTAAGCTGACCTTTCCTACGTTCTGAGGGCACAGGAAGGGGGAACCCCGAAGTGTTCTACCGGAAAGTTTTGATCGTGAGTCACCGGAGAAAAGGACAAGTAATCTCAATAATCTCCCGGGTTCGAGTCGCTCCTTCCAGCACGCGTAAAGTGCAGTCATACTTAAGCGCCAAAATTGAGCTTTCCTGCTGTAATGGAAGATCAAGTTTGCTTAGGAAGCTGTGACCCCTGACTCCCCGTCTTCCCTTTTGGAGTCACTCATACACTCAACAAATACGTGGGATAAAATACCCTAGCACCACATAAATATTGCACATCCCTTGGCATCCCTTTAGTCTGTCAGTATCCGGATTAAACTGCTCATTCAGCCATCTACACCTGGAAGAGGAAGGCGATATTGCTATTATTTAATAACTATTGAATATGAGAAAGCAGACAGAGTCTCCGCAGGGGTGGAGCTTACAGTCAACTGGGAGATACCGGCATGAGCCAAGTGCACATATTAATAAACTCAAAATTACCCCGTCACAATCCCAGAGAGGCATTGTTGTGTGGTGACCTGTGACTGTCGGGAGCTGTGAACAGCCGAGGGTGGGAAACTTGTCTGCTCATTCACGTCCCTGCCCGGGGCTGAACTAGGTATTAGCCCAATCATCATATGAGTGAATACCTAGGTACAAATGGAAATAAGGGTTTGGGGCAGTGGGACAAAAGGAAGAGGTCTGTAAAAAGGGGGTTGGGGGCCCTCCCTGGTGGCGCTGCGGGTTAAAGCTCAGCACTGCTAGGGAGCTGCAGCCCTGCCGCTCTGCTTCAATGCGAGTTTGATCCCCGCCCCAGGAGGTGACCACATGGCGCTGCAGACCTCCCCTGAGCCACCCGCTGCTCCCCTCAGCGGTGTATTTCATCCATCGGCCTGTTCTGCTCCCTACTCTGTCTCTGGTGGATCCTCTCACTGCCCCGTACTTCTGGCCTGTACCCCAGTTTTGTGTGCATAAATAAATCTTAAAACAAAAACAAAAACAGGGTGTTGGGGATCATTTCCCTGAGAACACTTGAACTGAGGTGGTTGGGGATGTTTCAGCCAAGGAACAGCACATGCTCAGGAAGGGGCATGTGCCTTTGAGGGAGGGACAGTAGGTCACTGTGGGTGGGGCGAGCTGACCACCTCAGCTGAACCAGGTTAGGCTAAGGAGGAGCAAAGGGCTATGATGGGTCATATAAGGAGCCGAATCTCATGCCAAGAGCAATGGAAAACCAATGGGGCTGACGGATGGGGGGGACTGGGGGGTTGCAGAAGGGCACATGCAGACCCCGCACATTTGAAATGTCACTGGCTGTGATATGGAGCTAAATTGGAAGGAGTCAGAGCCTAATTGACTACTAGGAGACCAGGTGAGAGCGGCTGGAGGAAGCTGATGGAGAGAGACTAAGGGATTCAAACAAGATTTATGCCAAAAAAAAAAAAAAATGCTGGTGGGACTATTGGTGCAGTAGCCCGTGGTGGCTGTATATGTGACCGGTCATTGACTTAAACACCTGTAGGCGATGAATGTGCACATTTAACCTTGGAAAATGGGAGTTTGTGTCAACCCTCCCTGGTGGCACAGCGGGTTAAAGCGCAGCACTGCGAAGCTGGGAAGCTGGGCATAGCTGCCTCCATGTGAGTTCGATACCCACCCAAGAGGTGATCCACAAGGCACCGCAGATCTCTCCTGTCCGCCTGCTGCTCCCCTCAGCATTGTACTCTGTCAGTCAGCCTGTTCTGCTCCCCACTCTGTCTCTGGTGAATCCTCTCACTGTCCCTGCATCTCTGGCCTGTACCCCAGTACTGTATGCATACATAAGTAAATCCTTTTAAAAAAGACAGCATAGAGGTGACTTGAAAAATTAAAGGTAAATTACCATGTGATCCAGCAACTCCATTCCTGGCCATATGTACAAGAATTGAGAGCAGGGTGTTGAAAAGATACTTGTACAAACATTTTTGTAGCAGCATTTTTCACAGCAGCTGAAAGTGGAAGCCACCCAAAAGTCCACCCTGTTGACTGTCATTTGGCCTTAAAAAGGAGGGAAATTCCTCCAAGGTGCTACAATATGGAGGTACCTTGAGGACATTATGCTCAGCCAAATCAAGTGGTCACAAAAAGGCAGAAAGACAAGCACTTGTATGAGCGGTCTAGAATAAGCAGATTCATGGAAACATAGCAGAAGGGTGTTTGTCAGGGACTGTGCGGGTGGGGACAGAGAATAGGGCCTAGGTGTTTAGTGGGAAGAGCTTCAGTTTTGCAAGATGAAAAGGTGTGGGAGATGGCTGGTGGTGCTGCTCACACATTTTGTGGCTGTGTTTAATGCTCCTAAGCTCTAGGTTTAAAATAGCTAAGATAGGAAATGTTATGTCTGTTTTATCACATTGTGTGTGTGTGTGTGTGTGTACATATACACACACATACAAGTTCATTTTCTCTGGTTCATCTGAGGTTTGTCTTTTATGACAGCTTTGATTGATGGAGAGAGGTATGTGCTTCCAGGCTTCTCAGGCCTAACTTAATATTCAGTGTAAAGACTATACATAAACCAACAAGCCTAGACCGTTCTTGTCCCAAGGAGCAAGAACCCATATAATAATAATGCCAGGCGCTTACAGGGTAACTCATCATGACTGCCAAGTCTGGACACTATTTCATCCTTTCTTAAATACCATCTCTGGAGTGGGCAAGAAAGCAACTAACATCAAACCATCAAACAACCAAAATAGGAAAATCTTTCTTCATCTCCAGGTCTAGAAGGCACACCCCAGCTGCTCCACAAAGCATTCACTCAAAAGAGTAGAAGTTAAAAGCTTGAAGAAATACCTCAACCAATAGGCTTCCCTACTGACAGAAACCTCTGGAACTAGTCATGGAAACAAAAAGGAACTTATGTAACTCCAAGGCACTGAGCCATTCGCAAGTAAGATACACTGTCCTGGAAGGTGACGATTAAGACCCTGTTAAAAAGGCACCAAATTCTCAGGAGGATCCATTAAAAAGACAAAACAGAGAGAGCTTGCGAACAACTCCTCTGCCAGAGGAGACGTACACCACAGACAAGCACACAAGAAGGTGTGGGCTGTAACTGTAGACCCCGATGGTATCTGCCAGCATGGCTAATAGAAAGCGGCAGATGTGAGTGTACCGTGCTTTGGAATAGTTTGCTGGTTTCCTGTAAAGTTCAACTAACTTTTAGTATGACCCACAGTTTCTTTACTGTCATGTGTCACTCGGTGTGGCTACATCCTGAGCAATGTGCCATGAGGTCGTTGCATCATTCTGCAAACATCAGTGTTGTTATACACCCCAGGTGGTGTTCCTGCTACATGCCTGGACTCTGTAGCCTGTGGGACCCGTGGTGACTGTATATGTGACCCGTCATTGACTGAAATACCTGTAGGCACATGACTGTGCACATGTAACCTTGGGAAATCAGAATTTGTGTTAACAAAAGTGTACATTCATGGTGGCTTTTTTCATAATCACCCAAAACTGAAAATAGCCCAAATGTACCTAGGCATGACAAACCTAGGCATGACCAGGTGGTGGAATATTATGCAGTGATAAAAATGAAGAAGGTGTGTCCACACTCAACAAACAGATGGATCCCAAATGCACCGTGTGTGCTCTCAGTTATAGGAAGTTCTGAAAAGGCAAAACTATAGAGACAGAAACAGATGAGCGGCTGGAAGGGGCTGGAGGTCTGGGAAAAGGGTAATCAGAAAATGAAGTGTGGGAATTTTGGGGGGGTGGGTAATAATTGTGGTGGGCCACATGACACTATATATTTGTCAAAATTAGAAGAGATGTATACCACAGCAATGAATTTTACTCTAAGTAACTCATATTTTAAGTTAAAAAAAAAAATCCCTAGAGAGCTGTGGTGCTCAGCACCTCTGGCTATTTACATATATATTCTAATTAAATGTAAACTTTCTATCCTTCAATGGTGTGGACTCTATCCCAGCGTTGGATTTGAAGAGCCACATGGTTAACCGTGTCCATACTCATCTGTGCTGATAAAGAGCAGCATTGCAGAAGGCTGGCCTGGCCCGTGCTGCCTTGGGGAAGGGGTGTGCCTGGGCTACCTCTCCCTTTCTCCCCTTCATCTCCCAATGTCAGCAAATCATACCAAACAACGTGCTACACAAGACCCATAAAGAATCGACAATGGGGTCATCCC